CATGCTTGGAATGATTGAATAATTTAAAAATAAAAATAAATAACTGAATAATGTGTTGTTCTGTACCCATTCCATGATTTATATGTTTCTTTAGGATAAGTTTGAGAGATTCATTTCAGTTTCAAGGATCTACCTTAAGTCCTTATCTTTTTGCTTTAGTTATGGACGAGTTGACGATAAATATTCAGGATGACGTGCCATGGTGTATGCTTTTTGCAGACGATATTGTGTTAGTGGATGAGACTAGAGAAGGAGTTAACACAAAGTTGGAGGTTTGGAGAAAAGCTTTTGAATCTAAAGGATTTCGGATAAGCAGAACTAAGACAGAGCACATGGAGTGTAATTTTAGTAACAGTAACAATGAAAGCAGAGGAGAAGTGAAGATTGAGAACCAAGAACTGCCTAAGAGTGAACATTTTCGTTATTTAGGGTCGATTATCACAACAGCGGGAGAGATTGATGCAGATGTGGCCCATAGGATTAAGGCGGGATGGTGTAAGTGGAGAAGTGCGTCTGGGGTATTGTGCGATAAACGAATACCCACTAGACTAAAAGGTAAGTTTTATAGAACGGCTATTAGACCAGCTATGTTGTATGGGACGGAGTGTTGGGCAACCAAGAAACGTCATGTAGATAAGATGAGTGTGGCTGAGATGAGGATGCTAAGGTGGATGTGTGGTAAGACTAGACAGGACAGGATTAGGAATGAGTGTATTCGCGAATGGGTAGGAGTAGCACCGATAGAAGATAAGTTGAAAGAGAATCGTTTGAGATGGTTTGGTCATATTCAACGGAGACCAACAGAGGCAGTAGTGAAGAGGTGCGATGCTGTAACGGTAGATGGAAGTGTTAGGGGACGGGGCAGGCCTAGATTAACGTTGACTAGCGTTATAAATAGAGATATGAATCTACTTAATTTAACTAATGAAATGGCCTTTGATAGGGTCGCGTGGAGAAGAAGGATTCATGTGGCCGACCCCATTTGATGGGACTTAAGGCTTGGTTTGATTTGGTTTGGTTTGGTTTATGTAATATTATCATCAAATATATATATATATACATATATAAATAATAGCTATAAATTGTTGTAATTCTACTAAACTATCAAGTGATATTTACTTACAATAAAAAATTAGTTATAAATTGTAGTAATGTTGTATTCTGTGTGATTTAAAAATGATATCATTTGTTTAAAATTAGCTATCAAGTGATATTTATTATCCACAATAAAAAATAGCTATAAATTGTATTAATTATGATATCATTTGTTTTTTGGTTGATATTTCACTATAATTTATAAGTCAATTTGTAATGTAAAAACTTTTTGGTTATATTGATTATTAAAAATATTTGGAAATTACAGAAATGTTAACAAAGGAATATGACAAGAAAAATGTTAAAGATTCCAAGAAATTTTATCAAATGTAAAAAAATTTGATAAAACTTTTGGAGTCTCTAACATTAATTACATAACAAATAGAGTGAGACAGAGAGGAAGAGCTTACCAAAACAGAGCTTACCGAAACATCTCCTTTGATCTAGTTTTAAACAACAAAACATGAGGGGAAAATGGGCCAAAAAAAAGAAAGCCATCAATTATCCATTTTAACCCATCTCCGGTGCTTTTTAGATCATCATCGTGAGCCATTGATCGTCGTCAAGAATGTGATCTCACTGTAATCGTTGAGAGAGAAAGAGACATGCAAAGGAGTGAGAGAAAGAGAAAGCAAGGAGTGAGATGGCAAAGTGGGAGAGAAGAGTGAGTAGATGTGGCTAGCAAGAGGGAGACGTGGCTGATTCTCCTAAACAAAGAGTGAGTAATTTGTGAATTTACCAATTGACCCAAAACTCTTCAATAAAACAAAAGCTAAACTGAATAAAGATGAATTACAAAAATGAAAAGACAAAGAGAGCCACATTTACTGTAGAAGGCAGCAACTCCTTCTTATATAATAGTAGTACAGATATATTATTGTATTAGAATATCTTATATATTAGTATTAGATGATATATGTTTTTTTGTTTGTTTGTGATGGTTTGCCTATAAAAGGCAATCAAAGAGTGAAGAAAAAGAAGAAAAAAAAAAAAGGGCAGAGGAAGAGGGCTAGGGGGATTCAACAAGTGGGAGAGAAAAAAGAGGAAAAAAAAGAAAAGAAAAGAAAAGAAAAAAAGCAAAAGAATTTGTTTTCAAAAAATTTTGAGGGAAGGGAATTGATTTTCATTTTTTTTTATCCACCGATATATACCATCCAAAACCACGTTAAATCTAAAACTTGAAACAGCCACCTAAGATTCTAAAGCATACACCATAACTGTGAGGATATAAAGAAGAAAGTTTGATGACCAGAAAATTCATCATTTTCTTCAAAGGTGAATTTTTGTAATCTTCTCATTTATTTTCTTAAATTTTATTTACTGTTTTAAATATGTAGTTTCTTTGTTTTTATATATCATTTTTTTTTTATTTCTTGCACTTTCTTTACCGTTGTAAATATGTGATAATTAGGTTGTGGAAGTGGAAGGCCCAGCCTCCATTCCTTAGATTTTCTTTTCTTTTTTTAGAATATCTTGTTATGTAATGTAATGTAATTTCTTTCATTTTTATACACTTTCTCATTATCTATCCCATCATCCAAACATGTTGGCTCATTTGCTTCAATCCATACTCAATTCTAATGAGTAGTGATGGTTGTTGCATGGAGCTAGTTGGATGATTCTTGAGATTTGGTGTTGAGGAGGTTGTTGGTTTTTATTTTGTTGATATTTTGTTTTTGGAAGTAAAGTAAGAGGTTTTTGGTCAAAAATATTGAGAACTGTCTTCTCAACCATTTCGAACATGGAAAGGGATGGAAACATTCTTATTCTATGAGATGAAAAGGAGTCTTCAATAAATTTGATGAATCTCTTACTTTCAAAGTAAATCTTCTACTAAGAAATGATGTGCACTAATCTACGCTCTCCAATTAATAGCATAGATTCGGGTATTAATTTGCTCTTATTCACAAAGGGATTGACGTAGGTTCCCATATATTTCGTAGGCTTGAATTTATTCTTGTTTTAATTTATTTTAAATTTATAAATTGTTATAAACATCATGCTGTATATAACTTCTTGTGTGTTGAGGAGGTTGTTGGTTTTCTTCTTGTTGATATTTTGTTTTTGGAAGTAAAGTAAGAGGTTTTTGGTCAAAGATATTGAAAACTCTCTTCTCAACCATTTCGAACATGGAAATGGATGGAAGCATTCTTATTCCATGAGATGAAAAGGAGCCTTCAATAAATTTGATGAATCTCTTACTTTCAAAGCAAAGTTTCCACTAAGAAATGATGTGCACTAATCTACGCTCTCCAATTAATAGCATGAATTTAGGTACTAATTTGCCCTTATTCACAAAGAGATTGATGTAGGTTTCCATCTATTTCTTAAGCTTGAATTTATTCTTGTTTTAATTTATTTAATTTGATAAATTGTAATAAACATCATGTTGAGTTTCCTTTTGTTTCTTTGGTTTGGTGTTTCCTAACTTTAATTCCCATACTTGTTAGATTTTCCATTTGATAGCTTTTTGTACATATGATGTTGCATCTCTTGGAAAAGTTTTGTCTGCTCTGTTTTGGTTTTGCTACATGAAAAATAGGAATTCCCAGATGAGCAAAATAGGATAATTCCCAAAGCAACAAACAAGGCAATTTCCGGTGGATGATTGTAGTTTTTTGTTAAATCATTTCTGTATATTCTTATGATTTTGTTATAATAATTTCCAACCCTTTGTCTTTTATTTGGCTTTGTAAATGTTCAATGTTGTAATAATTTCCCCTCCCCACTTCTTTTTATCCTTTTCCATGTATGTCTTCCAACTCTATTTATTTATATCCCTTTTATTTACTTGCTTTCCATATCTATAAATAAGCATCATATTTTATTTTTCATCATATTCATATTTTACATCCATATTTCATGCATTAAAATTCGGCTCATTTGTGTTTGTGGATTTAATCAATTCTTATGTGATTATGTGCGCTACCCTATGTTCTTGAGATGATTCACATGTCATGTATTAGTAGCCGAATTTTCAATTGCATTTCTGTGAATGTATTGCATTAGATTCTTACACCTAGGATCATGCTGTGGACACCCCATTTTTTACCGTCTGCAAGGGTCGAGCACTTTGTCCGGTACACTCGATGATGAAAGTGGTATTGTGTATAGTTTGAGATCTCAACAAAGAAGCCTTGTTTAAGCTCCGAAACAATCCCAAACCTTCCATATTTCCATTGATTATACATAAGAAATCCATTTTTACACATTGTGCGGCCTTGTGCTGAGGCTGAAACAGAAAAACAAGGGGATGCATTGAAGGCCGGCCGTGCCTCATTGAGGGCCGGCCGTGGCTATTGAGGGCCAACTGGGCCTTGGCAGCGAGAAACACTGTTCTGGGCGAGAGGCCACCAGCTGTCCATTTTTTAAGATATTTATGATATTTCTGGCTCAAATTCTATAAAAACGACCATATATCTCTGTTTTGAGGGTTAAAGAATTTGAGGAAAGCCATTATATCACCTTGAGAGCTCCTTCTTCTCATTCTTCTTGTGCAAGAAACACTTTGAGTTAACCTACCACCTTGAACCCATATTCATACACCATACACACCTTCATACCTTAGCCTAGGAACCTTGGTTAAGCCTTGAACGCCATAATTCAAGCTTGAGAGTGTGTTGGAGCTTAGTTTGATCACAAACAAAAAGCTTACTCTCTTGAGAGGTATATTGCTATATTCTCTCTTGCTTTCATTTCTTTCATTTGCTACATAATTCTTATTGTTTTGTGTTATTTTGATCTTATTTTAAGTGTTTAAGTTTGAGGTTTGAAGAGCTACCAAAAGGGTAGAGAGAGTTTGCTTTTTCTATACCTTTAACTATAGCTCAAACCCTTACTTTTACACTATTTTTCTTTATTCTCTACACTGATTTTCAGAGTTTAAAAAAGACTAAAAATCATGCTTTGAGGTTTCAAAAGTGGACGGGTTAGCCACCTCTCCTTGCTCTTGTTTACTAGCTTTGTTTCCTTTCTTTGTTGTTTAGCCTTTTAGGCTCTTTTCATGCATTTGTAGCCACTGTTTTTCATCATTTGTAGGCTGTTTTAGGGTTGTTCTAAGTTGTTTAAATAGTTCGTGCATTGATTAGCGTAGTTGTTGTTTCATAAGTTTACATACATAGCTTGTTGTCCATTGTTCTAAGCTTTTTTTCAATTCATTTTCATGTTTAAGAACCTCATTTTAATAATCAACTTACCATTCATCTCTTTTATTTGAGAGTTGTTTCAATCGGTTAGCGGTTATTCAAAACGTGAACTAGAGATTTATGCTTAATGGCTTAATCTCTACGGAGGTTTATTGCCAACGGTGTAGTCTCTTTTTCATGTCGAGAATCACCTCTCGTTTGACATATTTCTCACTTAGTGGACGTAACCTTTAGTGGACATAACAATCACCTTGGACTTAATGGATTAAAGAACGGTAAAGACTAATGAATTCGGCTTAAAATGAACTAACCCACATAAAGAAAATGAGTTATATTGCTTGGGTTTGGCCGGACATTATGCCGAATCTATTGTGTCAAGGGTTGTCTGACATCAATTCATGATGTTTTGATGAAACTTGAAGCGTCTCTATCTCTCTCTTTGAGTTCACTCCATGATTTGAGGGAGGAGAGGTCGTTTTTTATTTCATTTATTGAATTTTGTCCAAATTGTATCCGAAATCATCAAGCGATCGACTTGCTCATTGATGGTTTTGGAAACAATTCTAACCTTCTCTCGAGGCTTTCCCATGACAGAGAAGTGTGAGAGGGACAAACTGAGTCCAAAACACTTTGTCTGCATTGTTTTCACTTCAATACACAAAACAGAATTTGGCATGAAATTGAGGCACGACCGGGCTTCATTGAGGGCTGGCCGGTCCTCAATGTTTGGTCAGCAATGTATTTTTGCAGAAAACAAAAAGCAGTAGCTGAAGGTGAAATAGAATGCTCTGGGCAGACAGTGTTGTTCTTGGACACTGCACATGCGAACTTTATGCATCCTTATGCAACTTTATTTGATGTTTAAATTAGTTATTATTGTTGTAATTAATTATTGTTATTATAGTTAATCTTGTTTAGCTTAATTAGCTTAAACAACTAGTTTATTTCTCATTATTAGCCTTGTTGTAATAACTTAGTTGGCTAGTTAATGCTTTAATTTATTCATTCAATTTTGTAATAAGTAGTTTAATTCGGACTTTTGGACTTTGATTTGCACCCTCTTGCACGAGGGCAATGTTGAAATAAGTTGTATACCTTCCAACCTCGCATCTTTCTCCCTTTTACTTACTTGCTTATGATGATTAGTATAGGACATCACGTTTCACACTACAAGAAAATGGAGTATAAAACACAGAACATTTTGCGACGGCACATTCCCTGTCACAAAAAATGATCTTTTGCGACGGCAGATTAAACCATCGCAAATAAATAGCTTTCGCTGTGGCAGTTGTACCGTCGATAATAAACCTACATGGGAAGTGTGATAAATACGGAAGTATTCGCGATGGCGTTTTTTACTGTCGCAAAATTTTTTTTTTGGAGACGGCAGAAGTTTGCTGTCGCAAATAGTGGACAATTTGCGATGGCAAATGTTAGTCGCAAAAAAACCATTATCAAAATGGCGTCGGTTTATCTATATTTATTTATCATTTGCGACGGTGTAAAATGTACCGTCGCAAAAAGTAATAAAAAAATTTGTCCCGCTCCTCCCATTGTTTGGCGCTCGATCGTTTGGATCAAAATCCCTAAATCTTTGAAACAGATTTTTTCCCCCCAAAATCCCCAAACAAGCGACGAACGGCGAACGGTGAACGACTTTCTCTCTCGATGAGCGACGAACGGCGAGTAGGCTCAATCACCGTCAACAGCGGCTAGC